AAAGTCTACACACAGATGAGAGTTCCTGCTACTGAGCAGTGAACTGCTCTGAAACCTGCAGGAATAGCTGACCCCAGGTTTGGGGTGTGTAGTGGGAGATACGTGTGCGGTGAAGGGCTGGGGAAGCAGAAGGTGATGTAGGAGTGGATCCTGGTTGGGGAACGGAACCAGTGGAAGGTATGAAGGTTCTCTTGCAAACAGCACAGAAGAGGGCATTTGGTCTATGTGCATGTCTTGGAAACCTGGGAGCTGCTGCTTTTCCTGCAAGTTATATCGCCTTTATAGGGCCTGTAGTCAGTGTGATCTTTAATAAAACTAAGTTTGGAAACTCCCAGTCTAAATGCTTTCTTCAGGTGGGACTATGGCCAATCTTATTTTACTGTTTTGAACATTGACCATCTACTGTTTTTAACTTTTGCAGATGGGCAGTTTCCTCTGTTATGACACGGCAGAACCAGATTCCAACAGAAGATGGTTCCAGAGTTACACTTGCTCTGATACCTCTGTGGGACATGTGTAATCATACTAATGGACTGGTAAGGATTTCTTCAGTGTTGCTGAAAGACTTTAGGGCTTAAGTATTAAGCATTTCAAGTGCTGTAGAACAGTTTAGTAATATTTTGCATTATGCTTCTTAACACAGGTATGTTCTCTTCCCAAGTGACCCTAAAAACCCAATACCTGAAAGAAAGGTTTGTCGGTTTCTCAAATGTCTTACGATAGCTTTTCAGGGAGAGCTTTGTTCATCTAGAGAAAACTTTTCAAGTGATTGGATACTTGTGTAAAGTTAGGTCTTATATGCATGTTGTATACCTATATGTACTTTTAAAAGTTTTTGTTAATACCTTTTTTTCCAGACAAGCCTGAATAGTCTCCTGACATGGACCTTTGTTTTTGATGGGCTGAAAATGGTTCACAATACTGGACAGATTTGTTCTGAGAACAGAAAGCAGACATTGATGGAGGTTGCCTCTTGTAGCTACCACTAGGGAAAGTGGTTAGAGATTTGCAAATAAGAAATACTGCCTGCTCTCCTAACCATGCCCAAAGAGTCTTGTTATGGAGAAGGCAACATGAAGAACAAAGCCTGGTTCAACAAAAACAGTACATCTGTTAGTACATCAAAGAAACAAAATGCAAAAATACTACTTTAGGGCATATTAAACATTTAAAAGGTGACATATGTATATAGAAAGTCAGACCTGCTGACATTTTGGCTTACGTGCACCAGTTCAGAAAATGAGTTCCTGGTTTCATTAACAGGCCAGTTAATGCTGAAGTGAGGAAACCCAGAAGAGGGTGGCTTATCAATGTTATTTAGTCATGCTCTTATACAGTTCAAAATTCATACCCTCTATTTGTGTTTTCAGTAGATAGTATTATTTATTGTAAGCACTGAATATGACCATACTGTTCAAGTAATCTGGTTCTTTTGTGGGAGAGTTACGCGAGCATTAGGACAGCAGCATGTGTTAGTGTTGTTGGTATAAGTAAAGCCTGTTTTAAATAAATAAATTGTAAAGCAACTTGTTTTTCACTTGACATTTAGCTAATTTAGTGTTACTATGACTGTACCAATTACAGCACGGTAGGCTAGGCCACGAAGTTGCAAGTGTTTGGGGTTTATTATTTATTTATTTTTCCTTATTGCAAGGTGATTAGATGTTGTTCATTAACAGTGATTCTTGCCTCTGCCTATTTGTTATGCAATCTCACAGCTTTGATTTAGAAATAAAGTTCATATGAGAGTCTCCAGTATAAAGAAAATTGCTTAAAATTTAGAAATGTGTGTTTTTATAATACAAGTGGTAGCTGCAAGCATCAGTACTTCCTGTACCCTTTTCCTGCTGGGCATCTCTTTCAGATGCTTTTGCAGAGACTTGTCTGTATTCATTAGACAACTGTTAATGAATGCCTTCAAAGTTGGGATTAGAGGAAAGAGGAAGAGAATTAAGGTTCTGAGAGGGAAAAAATTAAGTAACATATATTAAAAGAGCAGCTATTTATGTTGTTTTACTCATTCAAACTTCTATTTAAATTGATAAAGTAATTTTTATTTTTATTATGCTCTTTAACAATGGGTTTGATATAGAGCCAGCCTCTGGAGCCAAACTTGCTAATACAGTAGTAGATCAGGACTGGAAGCATTTTTTTATGCTGAAATGTATCCTAAAGGACAGGGGGGGTTGTGCTGAACTTAAATGTTTTGTACGTATGTAAAGACTTCAGTCATTTATTTCATAGTTCTACAGAAAATAGTTTAAGTGGATATACATTTAGGAAGGATAGAAAACTGTAATATTACGAATGGGTTAAGAAAAGCTACTAAACAATTTTTGTTGTGTGCTAGTTCCATGTACTATTAGAAATGGGAGGGGGGAAACTGCTAAGATAACTGTAAGCTGTCTGTATTGTAGTTTATATTATTGTAGAGTGGGATGAAGGTGAACTGAGCTCTAATCATAGCACAACCCTTTAAAATACATGAAGGAAATCGTTATTCATTGCAGGACAGTAAGAAAAGATGACACTGAATGCACACCCCTGTCTACTTTATTCCAAATGTAGACCTGAAATACTTCTTGAGTCAATCAGCTACTGTATGTCCCTGTTCTCGCTTTATTCCAAAAGGCCTCTTTCCATTATCTAGATAATAAAATGCTCTATGGATCTTAACTGGAGCTAGGTCCATCCAGCTTTTTGTTGCCTCTGACACTATTAATTAGATCAACCTGCCTCTAAGAACTATTTCAAAATGGTTGTCTTCCTGCATTTCTCATTGTTATTCTTTAGTGGGATTGTATTTTGACAGTCAGAGGTTGATTACCAGTTCTGACAGAGCTTTGAATAAGCTACATTCTGCCTGTTGGGCTGGGTCCATCCTTAATCACTGACCAAGCAGACTATTGCATGCTTTATATACAACTTGAAATTCATGTATCAGTCTGCTTCAGAAATAAACTGAAGGGATGCAATTTGTCAGCTATCATGTGGGAAGAGAAGTAAACACCCTGTTAATTCTCTTACGTGACTGCTATTAAAAGAAAGAGGAAATAAGAATCTAGCACTCCATTATGCTTTGTAGAAAAATCTTTCAGAAGTGCTGCTGGGTTTCGTGCATTGTTGTTTTTTGGGTTTTTTTTAAAGGCAAAAATAAATTTTAAAAAAAAAATCAGTACTCTAGTGAAGCATGCTTAAACTGACAGAATGCTCCTCTTAAAATACTGGAATTTCTCCAATCTGTGAAAGTCTCCTGTTCCACCAGCATTTCGAGGGACTGGAATGGACTTTTCACATTCAGAAATATTTCATTGAGTTTACACAATAAGAAAATTTCAGGATAGGTCAAGAGTTCCTTTTTTTGAATGGAAGGTGTTCAAGTACTACAGCTTATGTTTCTCAGTGGACTGTATTGCATGACTCTCATGGTCTCTTCTGATCTCAACATACCACGAACCCATTGGTGGACCTGCAGTGGTGGCACCCACACGCAGGTGTCTGCAGGGCTGGGCTGCCTGTGCTTGGGGCTGCCATTTGGGCTTTGCTCCATCAGAGGCAAGTTCCCCAGGCTCACTTTGAAAGCGCTGTTTTGGCTGACAAGTGCCCATTTGATGATGCAAGCAGTGCGAAACTATTAATGTGTAAGCCATCAACCAGGCTTTCAATATAATCTGTAGAGTTCTGTCTTTGGACAAGCTGCATCCAAGATGGGAATCAGGGTATACTGCAGCTCACATCAGCCAGCTTACAAAAAAAGTATGTTTTCATTTTCAAAGGCTGGGAGAGAATCTTTGGCTTCTTCCTGGTTTTTCCCCAGGCCCAGAGCATATTTTTCCATAAGTTAGCTCTGTCAGTGCTGAATTCAGACTACCCACCATAAAAGTTGCTCTCTGATTTTTCAGCAGCTTGTGTTCCATCCTGTGGCTGCATCTTTGGCAATAATATTCAAAAATGTGTTGTTTGTCACTTTATAAAAATATTTCGTTTTTAGGATAACTTTACTTGTTAGTGCGACCCCTTTACAGTTTAGTAATTGTTTTTGGAAAAATACAGGTTTGTTAAGAGAGTTTATCCTCTTCCATTGCCTGCTACCATCACAAAAATCCTTTTAGCATTTTAAGGATATTACTTAACTTTTAGATAAAGGGATTATTTTCAAGTAAATTATAATTCTCTGAAGATTGTATCCCCTAAAGATCCATAGTTATCTAATCCTTTTTCATTGAGAGATCAAAAATGTGTTGGCAGTTGAAGGATAAAGCACAGCATATAGAGCTGTCAGTGCCTTGCTCCCTTGGGCCTCATGGGAATGACTGAAAGCTCCAGAACTTTATAACAAGCTGCTGGCTTTAGCATGGCACTTTGTGGCCTATGGAGGCTACTTCCCTCAGAGCCTTCTGCTCACTTCAGGTAGGTTATTTCCTTTAATGCGAAGATTGCTCAGGAGTTGTAAAGCCAACACTACCAGCTGTATTCTGTCATGCAGAGAAAGAAATGTATGCAATTTCTGTTGTTAATATCTATTTCCAATACGAAATTTTGTCGATGCTGGGAGAGACAAATATAAAATGCTAAAAGTGCTTTTGCCACTCTTTCCTTGGATAGATCACTACAGGCTACAATCTAGAAGATGACCGGTGTGAATGTGTGGCACTTCAGGATTTCAAGGCTGGAGAACAGGTAGTGTGAACAGTTATCTACATAATTGTTCTTTCATTAAGTTCTGTGGACACTTCGTAACTCCCTACAAAATTTTGATAATAGAGTGGTGTGGGTTAAACCCCGCTACATTTGCATTTTAATATGCTGAGCTAATTCTGTGTGAAAATAGTACCAAACTAAACAAGTGTACATTTTTCAGAATAAAATAGTTTCTATCACTTGGTAGACCCCAACTATAGGAGAGTTTGATTCCTCATATTTTAGAGAACTAGTTGAAATATTTAATCACTGGTAAGTGCACATACACAGGCATCAGGCTTGATATTCTGGAGGAGCTTAATAAAAGGCCATATGCAAAGGACCAAAGATAAATATTTTTTAGATTTGGAGCAGCACTTTGTCTGCAATAGTGGATTGTAGAGTCTTTCTTAACAATCTTATTGGCTTGTTTCTTGTTAGTGTTCATTCATTTAAGAGGCAAAATGCAGTAGAGTTGCCAGTCATTTTACCCATGTTGTCATTGTCGTGCTTAGTGAAAATGAGAAATGACCTAAAAATATACTCCCTCCCTCTCACACAGGCATGCATGCCTTTACCTCTTCACCCTGAAATACAGGGAGAGTCTTGTAAAGATGCATGGAACAGTTCAGAATCCAGTATTTTGATCAGAACTGCTAAGAAACAAAAACAAGTGTTCAAACTAGTGATGCGCTGAAGACAGTGGTTTCAGGAGTGTAGGAAATCTCCTGTGCTGTGTCAGCAGCCAGCCTAAACCCTCAAGTGTAGTAGCACTCCTTTTTTTCCTACTGCTTGAGCAACTGCAGTCGGCATGGCCAGACAAAGGCTTTGTCTATGAAACATCCTGAAATGCTTTATAACTCAGCCTCTGAGTTATTACATTTACTGTATAATCTTGCCAGTCTTACAATTTATAGTATTTTGGGTTTTGTTTTTCTTACGAATTGTTACCTTTTTTAGCAAGGAAGTGTCTGGAATTTTTTTTTAATGTGTCTTTCCAGAGGTATATTTATCCGCATTGCTATGCTGGGGTTTACAGTGATTGTGTATTTTTGCTCTCAGAATTTGTTATGGTAGTCAAATATTTGCTGTTTTTTTCCAGCAGTGGTGTGGTGAGTTAAAAGGGGTCCACAGTTTTTCCAGAAGTGATCCAATTTATAATTTTCCACAGCTGGCAATGGCATATAGCTGTTCTGGCCGGTCTCTCCATTTCGATTATAGAGGCTTCCTCTATTTCAATTTTATTTTAGTAGTTTCACTTTGTCTGCTATTTATCAGAGTTGTTTTTTTTTAAATTTCTGGCAAACCTTAACTGTTAGTGACATCATTAAAGCACTGTAATTATATAATGCTTCAGTCCTTTAATATACTGTACAGATGTTATTTCTTACAGTTTCAGCAGGAAGAGTGTATGATCCATGCTTTTACTACTAAAAAATGTGAGACAGTAAAGTCCACAGAATCTATCAAACACTGGCCTGAAATAAAGCAACTGTCTCATTCTGTTTAATTGGATTTTTTTCCAAAACAGTCACAGGGCATAAGAGTATACTGTATAATCTACACATGATATGTGACTTTTAGTTTAATATGAGATGTATCACATTAGTTTTAAAATGTGAGAGGGTTAGCATCTCTTTCCTTAGCCACTGCCTTAATATGCCTGGGCAGGTCACGTGTTCATCATATGAGTGTGTTACAGTATGATGTTTACTATAATTTAATATCATCCTTAAGCATTTAGTGCTTAGGATAAATAGTTCTAATATAAAATTGAAAACAAAGAAAGTAAATGGCATCATTGCTGTTATTGAGCCCTTTAGAGAGCACTGTGCCTTTCCCTGTCAGCTAGAGAGGAATGGAAGCTTGCAGGCATCCAGAGCGTTGCTGTACCCTGAGGTTCAGAAAGGAGTTCTGTAACTGTTGAAACTTCCTTTTCTAATTGACAATTCTGTTATCAAACAGAAGTGGGAAAATATCCTCTTGATGTGAGAGAAGACAATTGCTACTCTGACCTCTAGTCCCATGCATGCACTTCATACAGCCTAGCCCTGAGTTAAACACATTCTGCAGGTTATATTTAGGAACTTCTTTTTTAATGTGAAATAATGTAACCTGTATGCTTTAGATAAAAGAGTTCAGAGTAAAAGGCAAAAATAAGTGCTGCCTGAACAGAGCTCAGATCTCTCTGTATGATACGCTGTGGTATATCCATAGCTTAAGGTAACATTAAAATGAAAGCAAAGTTGATCCATCAGCAGTATAGGTTACTCCTTTGGGTGGACATTTGGTTGGGGAAAATGACTCCAGAAACACCATTTCTTTTAAGGGGCCTTCCTTGTCTTTTATTTTTTTAGCCTTTATAAGGCATAGGACCTTTGAAAGCTTATTTCCATATACTGATACTTTATGACAGCATGAGAAAACAAATCATTTTTATTTTAAAGTATAGAATAAGAACTTCTCTCAAAGTCTCTGTTACGTGGATATGTTTAAATCTACCTCTAAAGTATAATTGCCACACTATATACACCATTTGTATCGATACCAGAAAACAAAGCATGTTTCTTTATATAACCAAATATACCTTGTACTCAGAATAGTAACTCTTTTGGGAAATAACTTTCAAATTATGTCAGTTTTGTGAGCTGATCTTAAGCTTTTTTCCTGTCCCTTCACTTCTCTTTTCATCCTTCTAGATTTACATTTTTTATGGCACTCGGTCAAACGCTGAATTTGTGATCCACAGTGGTTTTTTCTTTGATAATAATTCACATGACAGAGTGAAAATAAAGCTTGGCGTGAGTAAAAGTGACAGGCTGTATGCTATGAAGGCAGAGGTCTTAGCTCGTGCTGGTATCCCAACGTAAGTAAAACACAATGCCATGGGTTTTTTAAAACGTTTCCAAGGTATATAGTGTCCAGTAGAGCATATATAAGACTGTTCTGTGATAGTTTTCTTAGGTGTAATATTTCTCCTGTTTGTATAGCAAATTAAAGTTATTGTAATAATATTTACAGAAGTTCTCTGAGCTATATTATCATCTAATTTTAACCATATATAAGGAAAAAAGCCTTTGCTTTAATAACCATTTTAACAAAAACAGAGGAAGGATTAATTTGAAGCAATCTGTGGTTTTTCTTTCTTTTCTATCCCTTGCAGACATACTACAGTATGTGAATCACAGCATTTTCCTTTAGTCTTTTCAGTCCAGAGGGTACTATTAGGAGCAGCAGACATGAAACATTGCATTTTCATGAATTTATTATGAAAGCTGTGTAAAATAATTTTAAGTGTAAAATTGTAGAGATAATTATTCTTTTCAGAAATTTCTTTTCTTTTCAATTTCCCAGGTTAGGGAAGCTTTTCAGTTTGAACTAGTATTACCTACTTTTTTTTTAAAGTTACTTTTGTAACAGTACATTTACTTTAAGGTCTTTTATGTTGAAATAAGTTCAAAGATATGACAATTTAACTTGCATTCAATGTTGTTGTATGATTATTTCTTTTATTAGTTCTAGTGTTTTTGCCTTGCACGCCACTGAGCCTGCAATCTCTGCCCAGCTTTTGGCTTTTCTTCGAGTGTTTTGTATGAGTGAAGGTAGGATGTTTTATGAAGATAACCTAATTTATGTTTGTCTTGTTGTGGGGGTTTTTTTGGTTGTTTTTTTTTGTTAGCCCAGAAATTGATAGACATTTATATAAAACATTAAGCTAGAAGATCGGAAAAGTTGAGGAGTTTAAGTTAAAAAGGAATCTATAAGCTAGTGAGAAACCCAATTTTTAGCTATGCTTTCTGAGGGAATATTTCAGTAACTCCTAAAGCATGAGATGATACAATTTTTTATTTCTTTTAATCTCCCAGGCTGTTGTGAATGAGTGAGCTTTCAAGCTTGATCTCTAGTTCTTAGGTTTCAAAATAGTTCACGGAACAAGATCATGCAAGGCCTAGGGGTTTACATGCTTAAAATCATAGCATATTAGCCATCACTGCTGGAAGCATTTAAGTATGGAATTGGAATATTCTGTACTGTAGGAGAAATATGGAAGAGACATTTCAAAGTTGAGTATTTTCAGTATTTTGGTAATTCTTAATTTAAAACCAATTTCTGTATTTGCAAACTGTATTTGTACTGTTTGCAGAGTACTTTGTACTCATGTTACTTTTTTTTGTGGGGTAAAAATATGTGTACAATTAATAAATATTCACCTAATTTGTGCATAATAGTCATAATGGCTGCTTGCTGGTTAGATGTAGCTTTGACAGTGAGAGAGTTTGTCATGATAGAGAGAGAGTTCTCTTGCAGTTAGGGAAACTGTGCAGGTGATGTGGATTTTAGTACCAGTAGGAATACTGAAGTTGTTGAGTTTTTGCATGTGCTCTATTTGCTTTCTTTAATAAAACCAGCATACCTTATTTAGTGTCATGTCTTCAGTTGCTCCTGTCATTCATTTTTTAGAACTTATAAAGAAATTAGAATATATTAGAATAGTTCATTTGGAAGGGAGCTACAATAGTCATCTATTCCAATTGCCTGACAGTTCTGGGAAGTAAACTCAAGTAAAGAAAATTTTAGGATGCTGATGAGGAAGTGAATTTTGGCTTCGAGAGGAAAATATATCCAGTGAACATTTTAATTGCATTTCTCTGGTATATGATTGTGCTCAGATTATTCTTATGTCTTAAATACTGTATAAGAAAATACCAAGAACCTACATGCAAGCTCTTAGTGAAGTTTGTGGTAACTGCTTTGCAGGAGTGAAATTTATTAATTGAAAGATTAATGGAATTTGTCTAATGTCAAGGAGCTGATTAAATGTTTTCTGCTCTGTGTGAGGTTTGATGGATGTCTTTTCTGACCACCTGTAGGAAGTTTCTGCTACTGAAAAAGATTACCAAAACAATAGGAAAATTAATTCCACTGCTTTTTACATGCTCTTTGGCCTGTTCCTTTTATTATCAAAAAGTTCACTGAACTCTTTAAATATTTAGTCCCTTTTGTTTATCAAGTATTTTACAGAACATTCCATCTCACTGTCACAGGCTTCTGCTGTGTATGAGAGGCTGTGATTTATAAAGTATCTTTATTTCCAAGTGGAGCAGAATGCCGATTTTCTGCTGACCTCAAGACTTTCAGTTGTCTCTTTGAGCCAAACCCTAGAAATAGCCAGCATATCTGATAATTCTTATTTGAGGAGAGGATTATTTTTTGTTAGCTGCTCAAAGCAGATTGTTTTTTAACAGATTGGTTTTGTACTTATTGTAGAAGAGCTGAAGGAACACTTGATAGGTGAGCATGCCATTGACAAAATCTTCACTTTGGGCAACTCTGAGTTTCCTGTTAGCTGGGACAATGAAGTTAAACTTTGGACATTCCTAGAAGCCAGAGCATCCCTTCTTTTGAAGACCTATAAAACAACTGTGGAGGTAAAGTCATCATTATGTGTAATTTAAGTGTCTGAACTGTTCTGTGTTCTGTCCTTCATCTTGTCTTTGCAAACTTCAATCTGAATGTTAGTACATAATTCATTCTGTACTTTTTAAAGTGTAGAAACAGTTTTGCATTATCTAAGGAAAATCAAATAAGATTGCAAAAAAGAAAATTTTGTTAATGTAATTTTGTTAATGTATTTTTTCTTTGATTCTCCAAATAGAGACTACCTGCTTTTTTCTCTGCAAATAAGATGGGGAATCAGTTTCAACTTGTTGTCTGGAGTTGCATTCTACAGTCTGCAAAGAAATGCACTACTATTGCAAGTGTATAAGTGAACCTACATGTTGCATATATTTGTGAAGTCACCTGACTTCGCTTGTTATGCAGACTGATTTATGGAGAGAAATTTTGGGCTTCTTTAAGAATTCATGACAAATTTGACTGGGACTCCTTGCAGACCCCCTCATGTCCATTTGTCTCAGCCTGGAAATCCTGGTGTCACTGTTAACAGAAAGAGAGGAAAGGTGAAGTGTTGTTTTACTGTGTTGGTTGTTACTAACAAACCTGCTTTTTTTTTTCCTAACAGGGTGATAAGTCCTTCTTGGAGACTCATGACCTTACTCCACATGCGGTCATGGCTATCAAATTGCGCTTGGGTGAAAAAGAGATCTTGGAGAAAGCAGTGAAGAGTGCAGCTGCCAGCCGAGAGTATTATACCAAACAAATGGCAGATGGAGCTCCGCTTCCTAAGTATGAAGAGAGCAATATTGCCTTGTTGGAGAACACTGTGGCAGACTCTAGACTCCCTATTGTCCTGAGAAACCTAGAAGATGTGGAAGAGCAAGGGGACTTAAAGATTGATGAAGCCATTGATGCTGAAGTCACAGAGAATGGGTTTGTAAACAGTGAAAACTCTCTATTTAATGGGACCAAATCTGAAAGTGAAAATCTAAATAAAGAGAAAAGCAACAGAGGGACTGAAGCTGCCAAAGAATCTTCTTCAGAAAGTAATGATGAGGTTAAAGAATAGTCCTAAAATTTTACTTTCTTGTGAAATTAAACTAGCTGAAGTTTATGAACAGTGCATTTATGTTGGTGTGTTTCTTTGTTAACATTTCTCTTTCTGCAGAGAAAAATGGTTTTGCTGCTTTATATAAAATTGAATTTTAAGTTATTTAAAAGATTTAGCATCCCTTTTCAGTTAAGATTGCCATCTTGCTTTCAGGCAAAAACTGGGGAAAGAGGTGCCTTTGGAAGATTTTGCAGCCCTTTGTTGAACCAAATGTATTTTCTTCCTGGGGAAGAATTAAGCTCTTCTATCTGCTGTGCGTTTGTTGTTCTGTCACTCTGACTACCGAAATTAAAAGCTTGCACTGCCTCCTGCCAAGAAAAGCAGAAGGCAGGACTGACTCGGTATTCAGCATGAAGGTGGGAGAGCATTACAGCAGAAAACTGGATGAGAGGATCAGAAACTTGGGAGACTGGAGGAAAACCTGTTTAAAATCAGGTGTGCCAGTCCAGAAAAAGGTAAGGTGGCAACCTTATGATTGGTAGTTTTAAATGTTGATGAGAATCCAAACTGTATACACTTTAAGTGATCTCTGAAGATTTCAGTTTACTTTCTCTTCTGTTTACTGTATAAAAGTATCTCATCTTCTTCAGTCAGAGTTAGGCTGCTACAGTACAACATTCACCAACTTTTAAAGGCTGACTACTTTTTATTTCCAGGCAGTACTTTTTATTTACAAGGTTGGCAGAGCTTCTGGAGATTTTGAAAACAGATAGGCCAAGCCACAGCTTTAAACTGTACTCATCAAAGTGAGGTCGCTTCCCAGCTTCTTCAGATTTTCACAACTAGCTAGAGATTTTCAAAGCTACACTTTTGACTAAACCATTATTAAAAGGAAAATATTATTAATATTCCTGTCTGCTACTCCTTCATTTCTGTGGTGTAGGATGTAACACTGAATGTGACATGGTTACCTGATCTTACTCAGCTTTGTCTTTTGGTTAAGATATTAATTGATACTGCTTTCTCAAAGGAAATGGCAAGCAGGCTGATGTAATTTTGGCCCAAGTCCAGACTCAGCCAAGTATGCCTTGAGCTTTGCCATTTAGATTGTCTTCATCTGATGCACATTTCTTGGGATACCTCCACAGGTTAAGCAGGTCTACTGTCACCAGCAGTTTTGGTCACCCTCTTACTGTATGTTTTAACTTCTCGGTGGAAACAATACAACCCTAGCACTGTGCAATATCAGAACAAGGGTGATTCCAAGGCTTGACTTTGAAATTACCTGGGTATTGGGAGGAGAGGAGGGTGGAATATTTTTATTTTGTTGGTGAATTTAGAGGAGTATAAAGTGATTTAATTCTGTTCTCAATATTAAGGACTTTGTCTTTTGCCTTTGTATCCTTAAGTTCACGATAATGGATAGAATGGAAAGCTTGGACAGTTGTTCAAAGCTCAGTAGAGGTTGCGAACTTCTCATCCAAGATCGGTTGCAGTAAAATCTCTTTTGGCATATTCATAGTTTTATTAGATTTTGCTTCTCTTATACTGCAACTTGGAAAATGTGCTTTTGCATCAATCTTTGGTGCAATACACGTGTAAGTAGTGACTTTCAGGTTGTCATAGCAGTTCTGGTGTTCAGCTAGTATCAGTGTGGGGAAAATAGAAAAAATAGTTTTTTAAAAAATATTTCACTAAGAATGGCACGTTGCCATTGCACCTTGGATATTGCTTCATCACTAACAAGATGCTGGACCAGTATTTTTGTAACTATATGCTGCCTTTGGTAGAATGTTATAAATTGTTGTCTTGACAATTTAAATGTCATACAGAAGTCATTACATTTTGGTTTTTATTAGGACCAATATTCCATTTCTGTTTCTGCCACTTACATTGCACAACATTGTACTAGATATTATGATGCAATTCTGAAACTAGCCTTCCCTGAAAATTATAACTGTAATTCAGAATTTAAATGCTTTGATTCAATCTGATACACTGTATTTTGTTCCAGTATTTGCTAATATCTATGGCTTAGCAAAGCCTGTGGTCACCACAGGACAGAATGTGTGGGTTTTCTTGAATAAAATATAGTTCTACCATGTCTTCACTAGTGAGTGTATTATACAACCAAAACCTCTACCTGCTACTGACTGCTGTATCTTTTGGGGTCCGTGGGAAGAGGAATACCTGTTCAGGTATACAGATAAAGATTAAAGGAGAAATAGCTGGGGGGGGTAGGGGGGAAGAAAAATATTCTAGTAAACAGAAAGGGAAAGTGTTCTATTGAATGCATGGTCAAATTCTTACTTTTCATTTGTTAGTGTTACTTAGAAAAATATGTTACACACAATAAAAATAGTGCGTAATCTAATTTTGTAATTTGCATTTTTCCTCTATGCATGTGATGGTTCCTCAGAAGCACTAACCTAAAACTTAAGCTTTTGAAAACTGAGGTGGAAACAAAAAAAAATTGGCACTGATGAGCCCTTATTACCATCTGTCATGAAAACAGACCTTTCAAAGCATTTTAAAGTTAACTTTCTTCATACTGTTTGGTTAAGAGGCTGTTCACACTAATCCCAGGCTAAATGCCAAATCTTGCTTCTGTTTAGCTATCTAAAGTATTCCTGTAAGAAAGACATCACTTGGATTTCTCGGACTGTTCTCCAAAAGCAAAACAGGGGAAAAAAAAACCTTTTGAATTTTACATGAACCTACCTACTGATAAGTCGTTTCCCTAACAACCTATAACTAGTTTGGCTCTGTATGTGAGATGGTGTCCATATCCCTCTGTTGATAAAGTCAAATATACAAAATTGAGCAACAACCTCCACTCTGAAAAATGTTTGTAAATTGTAAATGCAACCTTAGCTTAAGTGCTGTCATCAGTGAGGGAGAAATGAGAGCCTTCTGACTGTGGAGGTGAGATGGTCTATGTTCTTGGCTAGAATAAGTATTCCTTCCTTTGAACATCATTAAAAGATGGTATGTGCAGAAAATCTGTGCAACTCAACAGTGACTGTCTTCTTGAGGCTAATTTGCCTTTAGAGAGGAATGATCATCATGGAGTCATGAAACCTCCATGATTCAGTGGTACTCTGGAAGATTTAGGTTACACAGACTTTTCTATTTCACATGTTTAGAAACAGGATTTAATGTCTGCTGCTGTCCCTTCCATCCACTCTTATTTTATAGAAAGACATGCAAAGTAATTATGAAACATTATTTGAAATATTTTCAGTCAGACACAAGAAAAGTGCTCCCAAAATCCACTGCTCTTTTGTGATTTTATGGACTGATAGTCAGTCCAACTATTTCTTGTACTCTGTGCCAGACAGGAGTTTTCAGGAAAAAACATGCTCTGCCGAATTTATCTGATGAAGCAATACCCATCCCTTTTTCTCTAGAAGATTTTTAACTGATCCTTATTGAAGTCAGATATGACCACATGATTTTCACATAATTACCATCTATATTTAATAGTTTCTATCATGTTTTCTTCTTTGTATGCATTGTGTGCTGTGCAAAGTACAGCACATTAAATTGGTGACTCATGGTTAGAAGAGCTTTCTTAGCTTTTCTCAGTTTCTACATCTATTTCCTAACAAATGCCACAAGTTTGGAAACCATGTGGAGGATTTTTCAGCTAAAATAAAAAAAAATAAATCTTAATCCATAATTAAGAAAAAAAAAACCACAAATGGTCCTGGTTTCTGGACCTGGTGTCATTTTTAATCATGGAAGATTAAGCTAGATAGGGAAGGAAAGCAAGGAGATGTCCTTTCTGAAGTGGAAGATAAGAGCTGGACAAGTGAACAGCAGCTAGCTTGTCTGGGAGGCAGAGGTTGCTGTTCTGAAGAATATGAACTTTAGGAATTATTTCAGTGAGTGTTCTAGAGTAAAAGCATCTCCAGTTAGTTCTGTAATTACTGTGAGATTTTGATTTCACAATTAGACAAGGGCTTCACTTCCCCTAGGAACTGGTGAAAACATACAGATTGCAAACTGTTGTGTTGTGCTGACCTGGCAGCAAAGAGCAGATGTCAGTGGCTGCTGCCTTGCTGTCAGTGCAGTGCTGGGGCAACCAGAGGGAGTCTGGGTTGGAGTCATTGTTGTCCATTAAGTTTTCCTCTGCCGTTGTGGGACAACTGCTCGGCACTAGGGGGTAGGGAAAGGCTTTGCTAATCCAACGTGGAAGGATTGGACAAAACCACAGAGAGCAGTGTGAAAATAGAAGATAGCGTTGTATTCAGGGCACTGACCTGAAACAACGTGCCTAGACTTAGAGACCTTCATTCACATGATATTTTTGGGTATAGGACAGTTTTATTATATAAAGTTGATCAAGCACAGAAGAGGCTTTTGAACCTGAGTCTTCTGTCTTTCCAGCTTGGAGAAACCAGACAATCATTTTCCAATTAAATCCAGTTCAGACATGGCAAAGTAGATGATGCTGACCGCCACATCCTGTGCCTTTGAGCACCTTAACATGAATTGGAATGAAACAGATCTCTGTAGCCCTTTGAGACTTGACTTTGCTTCTTCAGAAAGATGTTTAAAATGTGCATGAGGATAGGGAATAGAATCTTGCATGTGTGAGTAATGTTGATTTCCCATCTGAATCACCATTATTTAAGCACAGATTCAAATACCAGAAGAATTAGATAGCTGAACTTAAAACACTTGTGTTTTGTTTATTATTGCTGTTCTTAAAAAATGGGCCAACTTGACAGCCATGAACACACAGGTCATATGCCCTTTGAATAGAATCAACAGGGCCAAAAAGCATGTTTCCCTGTAGCAACCCATACATGAGAAAAGACCAAGAGTAGCTTAATTCCATCTTGGTTCCTTGTTTCACTTACAGATGTTACTGACCAGGTAGCCCTTGCTTTGTGTTGGGCTGGGGCCGCTTGCCCACTCCCTTGGTGCAGTCGCTATGCATCGGAAAGTGTGGGTTGTCCTCCTGGCCCAGTCATCAGTGTTTGACATGGTGCTCTGGAAGTCAGTTGATTTTGCATTGTGCTGCTGACTTGGATCCATGCAAATGGTGTATTTCTTTTTTTATTTTAGCTTTCTTTTTGAAAATGCTGTTTGATTTAAATATGCTGCAGTTTGCTGTCATATTCACAAAAGTTGTCTGTTTCTCCTCTATAAGGCTGAAATTTGGAAACTGTGTAGGTGTCCTGTACCCAGCAATTGCCTTATGATATGGGTTAAGGGAAATTCCATTCCCTTTGCTTTATTCTGTGCTGGTTCACCGCTTTCAGTGCTGTTAGTAAGGCTCCTAATTTCAGTGCTAGTAAGTGGGGTTGTATACAGATTTGTGGTCCAAAGGTATGAATAATGTGCCTTAAAATTGACTCTCCATGCTGAAACAGGCATGCACAAATAGCCTCCTATGAACTGCAAAGGAATTTTTAGATTGCCTTGAATATGTGTAAGAAAGTCCCACTGCCTCGCAGCAATTAATTCAAGTGATTGGATGCTAGGAATGGTTTATTATAATTGCACACAGGTAGTAATTTATTAGGGTGGCTGTTTCTTTTGGCATATGTCAAGAAGGTCAGAGTTTAGACTTTTTTGGACATTAACCTAGTCTTCTGAAACTCTGAAGTTCCACTTTTTGGTCATTAATTTCGTACATGCTGAGATTGTGACAATTAACCCACTTAATAAAGGTCAAGTTTCAATTTTTTCCAATTTCTGGAACACTTAACTTTATTCCTTCTTGAAAATGGGCAGATACAGAATGATAAATAGTTATTAAATGAGAACGAAGATGTAGTTCTGCTGTCAAGATACTGTTGAATGGTTGGTAACAAAAGGACCAGAACTGCTATGGATTTGAAATAAAAGGAATAGCGTAAAACAGACTACAGGTAAATGAAATAGAAAAGTATACATCACAGTAAGCTGTTTAAAATCATTTCCACCTATGTCCCTGTTAACTTACTCTACCTTAGCTTCTAATTATGCAAATCCATAATTTGTCCCTTTAATTTTTTTCACGTGTGATTTTTCCCACAGCTCTAACACAGCATCTAACCACAGCTGAAAGGCATAAAAAAGCAAAGTAAGGAAACAGTGATGATGTTTTCAGATGACCAAAGCCTAGTTATACTGCATTCTTTAATAATACCTAGATTTCAATAAGCCACAAGATGAGTTAAAAGTAGTGGCATCGATTCCTAAAGGATACATTGGCATGTTTTGTCTCTTAAGCTATTGCTTAAAAATTACATTGACATTTTTGAAACCTCTGAAAAGTATCTATCAAAAAGAATATTTATTAATTTTAAACTGTATCATCCACTGAAGAAGTGTTTGCAGATGAATCAGAACTAGTCATTTGCTATGTTAATAAAATCATTGCATCTTTACTATTATGTCAGTGCTGAGTGATTTTTGGAAACCTATTTTTTACATACATTTTTTAAGTTTTTAGGTATTGACTAAGACAGTGAATCCTTCTGTAGTATTACTGTATAGGCTGGTGCTGAACACTTCAGTGCAGGAATGGCATACAAGCCTTTCAAATAATAAGAAGCTGTGGATTGAAAATAATAGTGTTTCCTGTATAATTTTTTCATTAAGTAGTGCAAGTACTACTACCCAAACCTTAAAAATGGCTATATAATTGTCACTAATTCTCAGTCCTGTGCTGCTGAATAGGCTCACATCAAGTACAGGGGTACAAACTGTCCAGCACTATTAACATGTGCACTGATGTAATTGCACAGCATTTATATTTGAATGTCATCACTCAAGATTAGATGAAATTATTTCCTCCTGGAAAAAAAAAAAAAGTGGGTTTTGAGTTTAAAATGCAACACAGTTTGGCACTGTTGTGTCTTATTTTTCACAGAAGAGGTCTAGCTGTTGCTTTAAAAACTCTTGCGTTGTCCCCAGAGGTTTTTACACATGCACAGTCTCACTTGAGGTACTCTCTGCTCTTTCTCCCTTTGAGAGGAGTTATTAACCTGTGCTAATGCTGTCTAAATGCTCACTAGTTAGTAGCAATACTTGTGGGACAGATGATTTAGAGTCACTTGATTCAAAATATTTTCAGCTAAAACTAAGTAATAATTTCAAATGATCAAATGTCATCTGCTGCAAGAAGCAAATACACAGCACAGTGATAGTTATCAAGCTTACTCTCAGCAAAGTATATCAATCTTTTCTTTGGATTTTACCTTTGGGAGTAGTAATATTCTCTGACAGAACAATTCAGACATCTTAAGCTGAGTTTCAAGAAGCAGCAGCATTTTTTCTCAGTGGTATGAGGTTCAACAGGTAACTTCAGCCTAAAAATGATGTGCAGGCTTGAGGTGGACCTCATGCCTTTGCATCAGAAGAAATTAGCTAGTC